AAAAGCTAGCAAACCTCGTTCGGACTTGGATTTCTTTTGAGAAGTTTGAGGAGCAGCTTTTTTGTTTTTCTTATCTTTGTTGGGTAATGGCGGAAAATCCTTACTGCAGCCAGGAAGTGGAACAGTAGGAGCCTTCGATTTAATTTTTTCATCCCCATTACCCTGGGAATTTTGCAATCCTCTGGGAGTGACTTTAGTTTTCTTACGGCGCACTTTCGGGGAGGAGCATTTTCGTTTTGAGGATCCGTTCGTTTTCAAAGGTGCGTGTACCACCGTAGAGTCACCCTCATCGGATGAGTTAGAGTCCGATTCTTCAGCTGACAAAATCGCAAATTGATTTTCATCTTGGACGGCTGGCTGATGCAGCCTTCACCATTTGTGCATATGACTGCTTGGAGCGTCCAGAGATTGAACGCTGCACTTTATCGGAGTGCTGTTTGTACATCGGGCACTCCTGCAAAGGGTGAGGATTCTCACCACAATATGCGCATTTTACTGATTCTTTGTGGCAAGAATCCTCTTTGTGGTTTTCACCACATTTGCCACAACGAGTTTTGTTGCCGCAATGACTGGCCGAGTGTCCCAGCCTTTTCCAGTTGGTCCAATTATATACCCTCTGTACAAACAACCGCACCGGGAAAAAAGCACCATCAACTTTTACAAAGTTTGGGAGAACTGAACCAGCGAAAGTCACCCGAAACGACCCAACTAACAATTTTCACAATGTAAACGCTTTACTCATTTCATTTATACAGTCTCAAGCTGTATTCAAACGTTATACGATATGAGGAAACCTTTACTCAACCTCTAATACAAGCAAATTTGGCGAACTTAGTCAGCTACTTATGGCTGTTGGAACAGTCGGGAGAAGCTCTTATTGCATATTGCATATCCATTAACGCTTCTATACAGCTGTTATCCTGCTGTTTAGTTGTGTGTGAACTTGAAAGACGCTTATTCAACCTTTTCCCGGTTGTCCAATAATCACTACACAGCTTTCTCTTGAAGCCGGGTTAAATACTGTTTACGCTTTTTTATGAAAGAATTTATTAGTTTATTTTGCTGTGAATCAAATTAATCGAAATTAGTTACAAATCATCACCAAATTATTTACCCTGCACCGGAACCTGGAATCGAACTCGAGACGACCTCATTGGCAAACCTTGACACTACCAACTGTGCTACGCCAACACTTTGAACTTATGTAAACAAATCAACATTCCCTTCTACAACAAAATCGCTGAGTAGAGGTTTTATAATAGTACACATGGATCACTTTTCTCGACTAGTTATAAAAGAGCAGAGTAAAAGCTGCAAAACTGCACACGTCTAAAAATAAACCTAGTTGACTGTGAAAATGCTTCCGAAGTTGATCTAACACAGTTTATAAGCAGAGTACAGGTTGTTTAGTTATTGAAAAAGCACTTTTGATGTTTATGTTATTCAGCAAGAGTTGTTGGTTGTGTAGAAGCCATCAAATTAGTAATATATTCACTTTCTTAGCTTTATTTTGCAGCTACAAGTGGAAAGTTGATTAGTGTGTGTATAGAAGTGACATAAGCGTTTATTGGCTGATGTTATTCAGTGCGACTCACAAATTGAATAATGGTTGTGAGAAAGTTGAGTAAACTCTATCCGAAACTATTTTGCTAGCTTTTGCTTGTAGCTGTATCTGCAGCTTCTTTTCAGCTACTTTACAGCACTGGAAAAGTTGGCTTACAAAGCTGAAAATGTTAGTTGGGGAGTCTGAATGCTGATAAACATTCTTGCCATCTTGCAAAGATACTGAATACAGTGGCCTGACATCCAGTATCTGTACCTGCTCTCCGATTTTCGAGTTTTTGAAGCAACCCGATGCTCGTTTTAAGTCCTCGACAGTCAGACTCGCGTCGGAGACCACGCCTTCTATCTCCACATCTCGAGAAGAGATGTAGATGTTATACTCAACACTAAAAAGCTCGTGTTCAGCCATTTTATTTGCCACATCATAAGTCGGTGCTTCTACTCGCAGTTTGTTGAATCTTTCCTTCTGTACCAAGATTCCCGGATACTTTCGCAGCAAATCTCTCGTAATGTCGAGAGTTTTCAAAGGTTTATTTTTGGGCCGAAAAAATACAACCCATGGTCCTTTCGAAGACGGTTGGTAGTATCTGGTTCGCACAACGTAGGCATCCGAAGGCGCCATAAGTGTTGCGCAAAAGTGGTGCACAACCGCTTAAAAAAGAAAAAAAAAAACTTAAAAATAACCTTCACCAATTAATTTACTTAACTACTAGTTGTTAATATTTTTTTGCCCGGTGTGCAAGCAACCATACAAAAAAAAATTATATAAATAAAAAAAAATAACTTTTTACTAGTTGCAAAAATGCCCCACCCTATTAGGGAGAGCACACTGCCACAAGGCAACTTTGTTATACAATAGCAAGGCAATCGAAAAAGCTATCCTATTGATCAGTTCACGAAGATTTGCCGCACTCTTCTCTCACCCGTAAGTTTTGACAGTTTTGGGTGGTTTGTTTTGGCTCCCATTCGTTGCTATCTCTTTTACTCAGAAGCAAAATGATAGGGAGCAAAAAGTGAGGTTAGGGACCGTGCACTGATCTATTGTACTTATGCCGTTTGCTGCTGCTTGCTTGCAGCTGCAGGTGGTGATACAATGGAGACGTCGTGATTATGGTGCTCTTTCACCGGGATGGGTAGAGATGGACACTCAAAATAAACGGGCTCGCCGAATTTCGGTGCTTCCGAGACACGCGCGCTTATCACCTGGACACTGCACTGTGATGCGAAAAAAAACCACGCGGGTGGAAAAAAAAATCACAAGTAATACTTAATTGTTGTGTTCACTAATAAGACACTTGTTATTTAGTTACTCACTGATTATAAACTGCAATCCTCATATCTCTACCACTACATTTACTGTTGACGTTTCCCTATCAGAACCGCCGTCGGCGTTGTTCACTTGCTGACTACACTGAAACTAATGTAACATTAATGTCGTGTGAGAGACCGGGACCGCGTTAACCGACTCAGCGCTCGATACGGAATGGAGGATGCTGGGTTATTTATTAAACTAAATCAACGAATGTGTTGTCGTGAGTGATGTGATCGATGATTAAGATTTAAAACACAAATAAAAAAAAGAATTGAACTCTCGATCTCCTACTGGGAATGCGGAAACAGTAACCATTACTCTACTGACGGAACCAGTGTTGTGGAATAATGAATCTAATAAGTCGTTTATAAAGCATTTACAAAGCATGAAATACATGGACGCATAGTGGTATAAAATCTATTTTGCTGACTGTATTAACCTTTAAACAGTAATATTGTAAAGCAATGGAATACAATCTAATAGTGGAGCTAGAAAACATTTATTAGACGTCTAATAAAGCATGTTATTAAATCAATTGAAAACAATCGATTTAAAGCGTCAATTTATGTGCAAATTACACTTATTCAGTTTGTTATTGGATTAAATTTCTGGTGTGGAATCAGGAAGACAGTCAACGTTTATAAAGCTTTTAAATAGTAAATAAATCAGATTAGAGCAAACAACGGAATAAAGGCGCATCTATCGCTCTCAATGAGGTTTTTTCAGCACATAGTTCAACATCCCGTTTTATTCAGCATTGTACACTGTTATACAGCATTTATTCAATATGTATGCTTATTTGTGACTCTGAATTGTTTGTTGGGGGGTTTGTTTATTAAAGTAATAGTTTCATGTGAACACCCAACTAACCATATCGTATCTCAGTGACAATGGTGACATTGTCTCACTCTGAACCTACATTTAAGGTTATTTTGTGATTATATGGTTACTTGGGTACTCACATAAAATGTTGTGCAAGTACCACTAGTTCAACAACGCCCAACTATGGACAGCTCCAAGTTTATCCCATTTACTCTCTGAATCAGCCAACACCAACATGATTATCTGCTAAGAAACAACAAAGAATGTAGGTATAGAGATAAATCTCAAAAATATAGTTTTAACTGATAGTAACACCAAACGATCAAAATGTCCTATATTGGACCCTGCCAACCCACGGCGCCTGCACAGTTATGTGGGCCATCAGAATGGTTCATCGGTTACGAAGTGAAGTACTTCTCAACTGAAGCGATACATTTATCAATAATTCAAATTTACCCTAATGTAAACTTAATATTATCACCCATATGACCGTCCACACCCGAAACCCATCCCCCAAACAAAATTAAATAAAAGGTTTCTGTATGGCAAACACGCCCGGACATAAACGAGAATATGGGTATACATTTTCACTATCGCAAGTACGGGTAATCATCGAAAGTAGGGGAAATATAAATTTGATAAATAGCAGATTTTTAGCGATGTGCCCAATCTTAGATCCATAGGCCAACATTAGAGCCATTTCCCCAACTATTTTACCGAAGACAGCATATCATTAAATGATGTCTTCGATTTTACTCAGGCATTTTTGAGCAAACTGCAATCACCCTCTCATACTCGATATGTACCTGGCACAACGATGCTCTATACGCCCTCTGATAAAAGCGCAGAAAATAACATCTTCTTCAACAAGTAATTCGGGTTTAGGAAAGGCCACTCTACGATCTACCAACTCGCACGGACTACTAACATCATCAAGCGGAACAAGTTCGTTTCCAAGACATCTGCTATGGCGTTGTTGGACCTTGAGAAGACGTTCAACAATGGCCTTATGTTCAATTCAAGCTAGCATTAAATTTTATACAACTACCGATCTTCCTTGGTAGGATGATCAAAAACTACTTGTCGGGCAGATCATTCCAGGTCTTCTTGAACAATTCACCTTCTGTACACTAGGTCGAATGACACTAATCCGATCATCACTATAGTGATATGCGGATTAGTGCCATTCGGCCTAGGGATATAACCTGATAAATTATTTACCATCAATTCAGAATGATTTTTAAAGCCTTTAAATTGAGATAAACAGACTCACAACATATAGCTATTTATTTTCAGCGTTTGTAACTTACAAGAAGCAAACCAAAAATAATTACCAATACTTAATTAATAATTATTCAAATAAACGAAAGTCAGCTTCTAAGCACTTCTTCCCATGACGAAATATCACTAGCAGCAGCTTCAACCATTCCTCTCAGTTTGTCTTCCTGCAGAATAGCTGGCATTACATTCCACACATTTTCGGCATTTATACTCTGACTTATTATGCGTTTCAGAAACATCAGCTTTCTCCTAAAAAAAAAAATCGATGCATGTTACCAGCATTTAATCAAGTCGTGGAATGATCTATTCACCTCTCCGCCTCCAGCGTCTCCAATCGTTCTTCGAATTGCTCCAATCCTTTCGTGGCAGCTTCAGTCGGTTGCTGCACTTCAGCTAGTTTATTTTTCAGCTCCAGATTTTTCTCCTTAAGTTTTTCCAGTCTGGCTTCCATCTCAGCAAGGCATTCCCGAACCGATTGGTCGGACTTTTCCAACTCAGTTATCTCCTGCTCCAGTTCTTTGGATTTTAGTCTCGCTTCGTGGGTACGATGAACTAGTGTTTCTTAAATCGTGAACAGCAGATTGCGAGAGCATTTTAAACTTACATTGAAATAACACCTACTATCAAAATCTGTTACCTACCGTTAACTCTAGCGATTCTTTCCGCCCGAGCTGTAAGATGTTCGGATGCTTGGGAAACCATGGCGCTTTCGGCGCAAATTAGCTGCAGCCAAGTGCTGTACTCCGACAGAGTTAACGGTCGATTTTTGATCGTATCCATTGGTTCATTAATGTTGTAAAATTCCAATAAATTGTTCAACAATAGCGCAAAAGCCGACGACGGTTGATCAACGAGCGAATACAAAAATACGTTTGACAGATTGATGCTCGAAATTCGAACATAGGCATGGGTAGCCCCTGTGACTGAAATCAAATCAGTCCACGGCCAATTAGAGTACCTCAAAATTGAGCCAAATCTGACTCAAAATTTCAAAGAGTTCACGGTCGATGAGAGGGGATTCAGTCGAATTCAACTCAAAAACAAATAATTAACGATAATTAATTTAGTGACAAATAATTAATATGTTTTGAAGGTAATTAAAATATCTTATTTTTGTTAGTAGTTAAAGTATTTAATAAAATTAAGAGTGTATTTAAAGTAATGAATGCAATAATGGCAAGATTTTAAATACTTGGTCAGCAGGCTGCGTAGTATTGAAAGACTAGTGCGTGCCCCTCGCCGAATTCCGTAATTACAACAGATGGGTCGGTTCGTTTGACAGCGTTCGGTAATTCTTGAGTAAACCGACGTTCGGTTATTTCTGCTTAAATTTATTTTTCGTCAACCGAGATTTTCGGTAACTTTGACAGATTGTGGGTAACAAAAAGAACTAACAACAGCTCGGTTATTCCTCTTTGAACCGAACAGACTACCGAGCGTTCAGCAGATAAAAACTCGGTCGACATCAAACCGAGTTCGGTAATATTTTCTAAGTGTGTATACTTGCATCGCGCATCATTTTTTTTTTTTTGCAGGAAATCTTCAGAATCGTCATCAATCTTCTTTCTATCTACTCAGCGTGCGAGCAGCTAGCCACAGCACAACACAATCTTTCCTGCAGCGTAGATAGAGTCGTCCCCCTCGGGTCATGGCTGGTTTTGTATTATCGGTCAACTTTATAATCATTAATTTACAGGCAACCAATTCGCGATATATGCCACATAAAGTTGATCTATGTTACAAAACCATCCATGGACCTTACTGACTACCCTTAAAATTACCATGAATGTTTTAAAACTATAAGTAATAATGTATGGAGAAAACAACAATTTTGAATGGTAATGATTCTTAACAAAACATAATTAGTAGGATCCTCTTCAAAAAACCACAATACAAAAGGTTAAAACTTTATCACACAAACGTTCATGTAAAGTTCCATAACCATTAAGAAGGGATTATAATCATTTTTTACTATTTTCAGTAAGGTGGTTACATTGGTTCACATTTATGCGGGACTACCGCAACTTTACACTCAAAAATATTACTAAAGGATTCAAATTCAATCATTTTATAATTGAGACATGTTTATTCATTGTTTGGATTAAAATATGATTTGAAAATATACTATATTCGAATAATGGCGTTGAATTCGTTTAGCATATTTCAAATTACACCTAAAAATTGAGAAGCAGACGTAATTTCAAACCAAAGCTAGGCGCTACTGGTTGAGGTGGGGCCGATGAAAAATATAAATGCCTAAAATACTTAAATTTTCTTAAATATGAGTTGAATAGTGGCCGAAAAATTTAAAATTCATTTTCTGGTTTGTTTACGTTTTGGAAATAGGCCCATTTTAAATGTTAGTCTAGATTTTTTGTATATAACCAGTGTACAAGCCAGTGTCCTTATCTACACTCAAAAATATTACAAACCCAGTACTGATTAAATTTTATGCATTTTATTATTAATCAAAATTTATACATTGGTCCGATCAATATTTTCTTCAAAACTATACTAAGTCCGATTATTGAAGTGGAATTCGATCAGTGTATACTAAAATGATCAAAAATGACAATGTCAAACACGATGGCACTCGTAGTCGTTTTTCAGTTCACGTTGAAGGTGGTAACGTTCTCGAATGGTTCTGCAAAAATCGTCCGCAGATTCATCGAAAGAAGCATATAAGCCTGCTGGAAGTGGAATCGAAGCCTGCCATGAATGGCAACCCTGTATTGATTAGCCAATAAACTGCTGACGGATTTGATACACAGTAATTTCTTCTATCTGTTCGACTTAAAGACCATCAAAGCGATGAATATGACCATTCCGGGTGGACCCAAGTTTTAGCCGCTTATCAAAGATCAAAACGTCGGGTAATGATAAACCTGGGTTGAAAATGATAATTGTATGGTACTGCTTTTGCTTTAATTACAACATTAATTTTTATTAGAAAACAATAATATTAAGCATTAAACGAAAAAGAAGCAGAAAATACATTCCCTCGAATAAACCGTATGTATGCATTGCAAGCATATTTCGATTTTATACTATTGCAGGCATAAATCATTTTTATACTAAGTCTGCATTCTCTCCCTTTATACCGACCTTTGCGTCGGCACGGAGAGTTGCGATTTAGCGTAACTTTTATACTATTTAGCTTTCAATATTTTTTGAGTGTACATAATATTATTTATTTGTAGTTTACCTCTTCCTCCTCCTGTGGATTGACCGGTGGTGTACGAATGCAAAAATACTTGCGACTGTGATGCTAACAGAATGACAGCTCTTGACTGGGTGTCAGTTTATGTTAGCTGATTTTTTCGGTAAAAATGTCATTTGCTGTTTTCCAGTAAAGCATTGGATTGCTGATCATGATCCAGCAATTCGTTTTACTGATAATGAAAACTTAAATTCAAGAGCAAATTTTCATTACGTCGAAAGAAACAAAGGTAAACAAAGTCGAGCTATCAGTTTCAATCGATGCTCCTGCTATTACACTATATACTGTCCGAATATAGGATCACATCCCATTTTAAATTTATTTACCAGTCAAATTGCTTTTTGACGTAACCATCTTCCGATCAAAATAGTTTTCGATGTTACTTAAGTCACCCGATTTCTATGGAGATACCGTTTGCATTAAGTAACAGTGCTGAGAAACCCGTGAAAAGTGTACGTTCGTCGTTTTGCTTTCTCATTATTAAAGTGAATAAATCGAACTGTTTGTTGCTAAGATGATTTCGGTGGTCCTTAAATGATGAATGGGCTGCACGTAAGGAGACGTAATTGATAATTCTCCTGAATATCCTGGTAAATACACTTTGACTTAAGTAACAATAGGGGCCACCAAACGACGTATAATAACTTTTGACTCAAAAACCAGTATTTTTAGCATGAAAGCTAGCAATTTGCATTTGTATGATTAAAACCCTGCTAAATATGTTAAATATTGCTATCACTATGAGATTATATGTGTTTAATTGGAAATAGGAATAACTTTTCAGTCATCAAAACAAAACTTTATTTTTCTCGGATTGGTGCGAATGTTACTTACGATATAATAAAAATTTGCTCTTAAATTTGATGTGTATCGTGTGTATGCGTCGGTCCACTGAACCAAAACATCCGCAATACTTCGAATGATTATTGCATTGATCGAGCCCTTGTAACCGATGGTTCCAGAATGTGGGCTTTTGACTCTATCACAAGCAGACTCATAATCGACTGTATAACAGTGTTTTAGAATGGTCGTCCTAAATCCAACTCTGCTTTTGGTCGCTCACTTTCCCATACCGTTCCATTAGCCTGCGGCACCACTCACTCTCATGAAACCGGTTGACAGCAGGCGCTCTGCCGAAAAGGTTGTCCATAGATGGGGCAAGGGGAGAGGTAATGCAGATAAATTGAAAAGATAAATACAGTGAAATTCGGGTTCGCTCGTAGTTCATGGTTTTTCGGTCACTGCTTGGCGTGTTAGCAGGAGTAAATTCAATTCCTTCTTGACCGCACTCGGGAATAGTCCCAGTGCGCGCCGTGCTAAGTTTTCCCGTAAGTCCGCCGAAAGGGCGATGTGTCGGTAGTGAAGTTTTTAATTAATGTGATTTGTTTCTTTAATTGTAGGGTCTAGTGCGTGTACCTGAAAAGTTAGTGTCAGGGTTAGTAAAGTTAGTGAACATAAAAATAAAAAGTGGTTAGTATTGTTAGAGATAGAGATAAAAACATTTAGACGCTAATTGTGTTCCTTTGATCACAATCTAGGGTAGTGTGACCTATTGTCACCCCACATTAAATGTTCATTGTTCGGAACATTTTCGTCTGTAAGAAAAAGGTAATTTATTGTATTCTTTTGTTATATTGTGAAATATCTGGGTGAGTTTGTAAGCTTGCGGTTTAATTGGTGATTTGAAGCAGGGCAAAAATAGCATATGGCGTGTGTAACTAATCCAGGTGGTTAGGTCCACTAAGGGCCTTTTTCTTTTGTTTCATCGACAGCTATTGTCCGGGAATCGGCGCCATTGCATTCCTCGGCGATAAAATTGTAGGCTCGGCCATTGTGAATTCTGGTTACCACTATCTGTCCAGATTGGCCAACTGGCCCGGCGAAAACTGCATGCCCCGTGAGAGAATCTGTGGGAACATTTCCGGAAGTTCCGTGATTCACGATAGTCACCCACACTCCAGCAACACTACCGATACCCAGCACCAGCATCCTCCGCGCTGCCACCGCACCAGCACTACCACCCTGCACCGCCATTAGCTAAGACCCACCACCAAAACCGCAAGTAATATGTGACGTCACAAATTTAGATATAAGAAAGCAAACCCAAAATCTATGTACATATACACAAAAACTATTAAATATAGTGAAAAAATGTAATTTTTGGGAACTCTTCATATTGATTGATGATTTTACTACCTTTTGTGTTTGCTTCGTTCTTCCGGACTCGAAAGGAGTCTCCATGCCTCCCTCCCTTTGCGGTTATTTAATGAATGTTTTTACACTGCGGCTTTTGAGCATAAAAATCATGATACAGTTATCTGCCATTGCTAATCCCGTTGCCCTGTTTATGGACTACACCCTATCGTTGTGAGTTCCTTCTGACAGCTTAGATTGATGAGTGAGAGTGGTGTACCGCATTCCTTCCTTCCGACCCTGTGATAAATATATCCACTGAGTAGCAGAGGGGATTACACCCTTTAACAATATGCATTCGAATTTCGGATGATTTTCTTATGGTTGAATTCGTCGTCAGATGATGAACAACCATATGACTGTCATT